AATTAATCAATAATTTTTTATGTTATGTATACATATATAATTATATGTTTTTAAACACAAGATTAGTTGATTAGTTGATTGTCTTTTTTATTAAAAACAAGGTTGGTTGATTAATTGATTGTCCTTTTATTAAAAACAAGATTAGTTGATTAGTTGATTGTCTTTTTTATTAAAAACAAGGTTGGTTGATTAATTGATTGTCCTTTTATTAAAAACAAGATTAGTTGATTAGTTGATTGTCTTTTTTATTAAAAACAAGGTTGGTTGATTAATTGATTGTCCTTTTATTAAAAACAAGATTAGTTGATTAGTTGATTGTCTTTTTTATTAAAAACAAGGTTGGTTGATTAATTGATTGTCCTTTTATTAAAAACAAGATTAGTTGATTAGTTGATTGTCTTTTTTATTAAAAACAAGGTTGGTTGATTAATTGATTGTCCTTTTATTAAAAACAAGATTAGTTGATTAGTTGATTGTCTTTTTTATTAAAAACAAGGTTGGTTGATTAATTGATTGTCCTTTTATTAAAAACAAGATTAGTTGATTAGTTGATTGTCTTTTTTATTAAAAACAAGGTTGGTTGATTAATTGATTGTCCTTTTATTAAAAACAAGATTAGTTGATTAGTTGATTGTCTTTTTTATTAAAAACAAGGTTGGTTGATTAATTGATTGTCCTTTTATTAAAAACAAGATTAGTTGATTAGTTGATTGTCTTTTTTATTAAAAACAAGGTTGGTTGATTAATTGATTGTCCTTTTATTAAAAACAAGATTAGTTGATTAGTTGATTGTCTTTTTTATTAAAAACAAGGTTGGTTGATTAATTGATTGTCCTTTTATTAAAAACAAGATTAGTTGATTAGTTGATTGTCTTTTTTATTAAAAACAAGGTTGGTTGATTAATTGATTGTCCTTTTATTAAAAACAAGATTAGTTGATTAGTTGATTGTCTTTTTTATTAAAAACAAGGTTGGTTGATTAATTGATTGTCCTTTTATTAAAAACAAGATTAGTTGATTAGTTGATTGTCCTTTATTAAATTGTTAATTCAACTTTGTCAAAGTCCAAATGAAGCAAACACCTAACTATCTTTAAAAAAAAAAAAATTAAGCAATCACCTTAACTTGTCCATTTGGTCTTTCTATTTTTGCTTGTTTGCTTTCTTATGTTATGGTAAATGAAAGTGCTTAATACAAGCTGTCCAAACTCTATTGAATGTGTGTGATTAGTGCTAAAAACATTTTTTTAGAAAATCATTTTATACATTTGGTTATCACATGACGATGACAACAAAGTTAGAGATGCAAGTGGTGAGCATAGCAAAGGTGATGGTAGGCATAATGGTAATATGGTGAAAATTATTAGGTTGCGTTTGGTAGAGATTTTTAACTATGATTTGAGAGTATGAGTTGTATTTTAAATTTGTAAGTTTGAAAATTATGATTTTAGTGTGAAAAATTTGTTTAGTGAAAGAGTTTTGAAAATAGTTTTGAAAAGAATTTTGAGTTGAGTGGAAAATTTTTAATGTGACATTTGATATTTGATATAAAAACTTACAACTCATAACCAAACAGACAACTCAAAATTATATTAAAGCACATAAAAAAAATTTAAAAATTTGAAAAATATTTTTTTCGAATATATAAAAATTAACATATCAATTGCAAAAAAAAATTTACATTGTTCCAGTCAACCGGCCGGACAACTGGTGAGATGTCCTGTTGGACATCCGATGAAACGACCGGTTAGGCCAAATTTCGAAAAAAAAAAATTTCAAAAATCACGCTTTACAGAGAGTTTTCTGCAGAGTTTTGTATTTATTGTGGAAAACTAGTTCTAAAACTTTATCCAAACATGATGTTCCAATGTGGAGGTAGAATCAGGATTTGAAAATCCTTCCAAACAGAGCCTTAAGGTATGTTTGGTTTGAGTTTTAGAGATGAGTTTTAGAAGAAAAAAATTTCTAAAAAATTGTTTGGTTTGAGATTTTTCTCAAAAAATTTTCAAAATCACTTTATCTCTCTTACACATCAATCAATCATTTTTTCTCTCTCATCTCTCCTTCTCAATCACTTTTTCTCTCGCACTCATCTACTCAATTACAACAAACTATCAAATCATCACAAACTCCCAAATTCCAAAACTACTTTCAAAATATACAACCAAACAAACCAAAAAAATTTCTAAAACAGCTCTCCCAAAAACAAAGCAAACAAGCCCTTAGATTTTGTTAATACAGTCACTTGTTACGAAATACAAAATAATTATATATTTTTTTATAAATTACTATATAAAAATTGGAGGTAGATTCTCTCTAATCTATAATATGGACTAGAGTTGCTATCTAAATTTGTAGAGCCTACTATGGGTCATATTTTGATAATTGAATCATTCATTTTGTCAAATACTTCATATATATTATTTACACAAGAAATTAGTTCAATTTATCACTTTTCTAATGACAAATGTTATAAATTGAATATGTTACGATTATCAAATCAACTTAAGTTTTTTAATAAATGACATATGCAAAAATATTTAATAAAATAAACAATTCAAATTATCAAAACGAGATATATTCACGGTCCTAAACAACATCCATTTATTAGTTCAAATTATGAACCGGAGGAATCCACCTCCATAAAAATTATATAATTATTTTAAAGTTTACTAATGCTCTGTACATGCTCATTATTGTTTAGCTTAGCTTTTGCTTATACTTTAGGCCTCACTTATTTTCCATCATTATCAAATAAAAATAATTTTGCTTACACTTAAACCTCACTTATTTTCATCATTATCAAATAAAAATAATTGTGTTCACTTATTTTCTTTTATTGACTGTTTCAAAGTTTTAGATTTCAGTAGGTAAAATAAATAAATAAAATGGTTACATATATGAGTAAATTATACTTTCCCCATTTCCCCATTAAGTTTTATGATGTTGCTTTGGCTCTTAAAAGTGTGTTTTGTTTTATTGACTTTTTTAAAATATTAAATTTGAGTAGGTAAAAAAAGATTTAAAAAAAAAAGGTTACGTATATGAGTAAATTATACTTCTCGATTTCCCCATTAAGTTTTATGGTGGTGATTTGGGAACCTCAAAAAAAAGTTGCGTTTTGCAGCTCAAAAACACAATCCATAGCAAGCTGAAAATGCAAGCGGATCATTTGGGAAGACCATAATACGCAGGTTGTAAAATTACAAGACTACCCATGTTTACAACTTGAGGGTAAATTTTGTATCTGTTGCAACTATAAAGTTTGAATCAGAAATTGGAAGCCTTAGAGACTTAAGTATCTGAAATTGAGTTTATATATGTGATCAGCATAATTTTTAGGTAATATTAAGCGTTTCTGTGAAATTTCAATTTAAGATGTTTAAACGATTGATTTTCGTCTTTATTCCCTCTTTGTATATGTATGTCTATAAAAGCCTCTTTGAACTCAAGACTTGGGAACTTTCTTATAAAATATTCCCTGGGAGAAAAGTGAAGAGAGGATAAGAACAAGGAAGATTTGAGAGAGATTAAAGCTAAGGTAAGTTTAATTTCCCTAGTCCAATCCTCTTCCTCAATTTGAAATAGAAAGTTTGTGATTTGGTATGATCTAGAGTGTGATGGAAGTCTTGGATGTGTGTGTGTTGAAGACTTGGTACGATAATCCTATCATTTGTGTATTTTGAATCCAATCCAAGTTATCTAGTGAGAGCATCATCTTGTCTCTTTACTTATCAAATTGGTATTCATGCTTATACCATGTTTTTGTATATCTATGTTATGCGCGTGTAAAGTTAAGAGCCTCAAGAATGAAATTATGTTCATTAGCTTCAACTTTTGTTCCAACTAATTGAGTTGTATTCATGGGTTTAATTCAAGTTAGATTATGGTATGTTGTACCTTCAATTACATGTTTTTAAACCATGATTTAGCCCTCAAAAGTTTCAACTTAGAGCCTTACAAACACTTCCAAAAGAACAAGATTCTGTTGCAATTTTCGGACCCAAATAGGTAAATCGTCGCACGTGCGGGAGTCACTACCGCACGTGCGGCAAATGCTGAATTTTGAGGGTTTGGTTCTGCTTAAAAAGCACATACGGGGGAATTTTGCTACACGTGCAGGGGAGTTTACCACACGTTCGGGGCTCACAGCCGCACGTGCGGCCCATGCTGAAAAACATGGGTTGCTCCGTTTTGCGTGTAGAACCCTCTAATATTGTCTGAATATATATTTGATGCCTTTTCGATATTTATAAATTCCTTCGAAGTAAAGAGAAACAGAAAGTAAATTGATATGAAGGATGAACTAAATTGTAAGTTTTGAATGTGTGCAGGGCACACTCCAGGAGGAACAAGCACGTCATCACAACACTATGAGCAGTAGTACCATTATATGCTTCACATGTAGTTAATGATTGTCATGAGCGTTGTGTTCACGCACGATATGCAACTATGTTAATGCTTCAAAGTATGTAAGAAAGAAATGGGAAGGATGAAATACGTTCATTCTGTAAGACTCTTAAATCAAGTTGTTCTATTAATATGATATGAAACAAAGTGCTACACGGAACTAAGTGCTACGATGTGAGTCACCTCTAGAGTTCGTGTGAGACACCTCTTGAGTTCATACAAGCATGTTCAAGGGCTTAATGCCAACTTATTCAAGGGCTTAATGCCAAATGATTCAAGGGCTTAATGCCAACTTATTCAAGGGCCTCGTGCCACCATGTTCAAGGGCTTAATGCCACCATGTCTAAGGACTTTGTGCCACTACATTTAAGGGCTTAGAGCCATCATGTTTCAAGATATTATGTTTCAAGCCATTACATTCAAGCATAGGCCTAAGGCCGTTATAAAATTAGTACAGACTCAAACTAACTATGTGTGCATCTTCTTACGCTTTGATGTATTATATTTCAAGTTAAGCATCGTTTTATTTATGTATTACTACTTACTGGGCCTGGCTCACTCTGTGTTATGTTTTGTTTTGTAGGTCACCAACCAGGTGGTCAATCCTAAACCAGGACGCCCGTCCTCTTTTGTCAACTCTTGTGTGTCCAGGCAGTAGACGAGGTCATTTATTTTTGGGAAGTTTTGCTAATATGAGGCTTGTGTTTTGATTGTCCATCTAGGGTTGATTGTACCTAACTTCTATATTTTTGTATATGCCCAACCATGGGGCTGGGACTGTTTATATATATATATAACAGCTACTCAGGGACATATTACTGAACTTTATCTGCCTATGCTGATGTATGTAATGTATGTGATCCTGGCATATTAGAAATAGCTCAATGGAGTTTGTTTATATCAGTGTTATGTTATTATTTAATGCTTCCGATAAGGCCCCGTATGTTAAGTATACCAAGTTAAATATCCATTTTTAAGTAGGTCATGCCCAAACTTCTAGGGGCGGGTTTGGGGCGTGACAAGTGGTATCAGAGCACGAGTTGCTATCTCACACACGGATCCATTGAGCTTTAGGGTGTCTAGAAAAGATTTAGGCATCATGCATGACACCCTCAAAGTATAGAAGAGGTCGATGGCAACGTTATATGAACTCTGATAATGCTAACAATTTGAAATTATGTCTATTGTATATAATTGATTGTTGTGTAGGCTATGGTGAGGACAAGGACAGAAGATGCGGAAGATGCTACTTCTGCACGGTTGGATATGATGGAGAGAATGATTATGGAAATGGCGGAAACCCTACGGCAACAACAGCAACAGCCTCAACGACAACTGCCACCGCCACCGGTACCTCCACCGGCAGTACAAGATTTCCATGCTGAAAACCGAACCATTACCCTTACTAAGGAGTTTAAAAAGAAGAAACCGCCATCCTTTAAAGGAGGAATAAAGCCCATGAAAGCAGAGGCATGGGTGTTGGGAATAGAGAAATTATTTGAAGTTTTCCCTTGCACCGAAGCTCAAAAGGTGCAACTGGCTGCCTTTACCCTTGAGGATGAGGCACGAAGATGGTGGATGCTTACGAGAACTATACATCAAGGATTGACATGGGACAGGTTTTTGGAATTGTTTTATGATAAATATTTCCCTCAAAGTATGCAAGATAAGAAGGTGACTGAATTTGAAACTCTCAGACAAGGGAACGAAACTGTTGCTGAATATGAAGCTCAATTTGCAGAGCTAGCCCGGTTCGCGCCTCATATGGTAGACATGGATTACAAGAAGGCACGAAAATTTGAAGGGGGATTACGGGGTGCTATTTTGGACCGAGTCAATATGTTGAAGTTGCCTACCTATGTAGATGTGTTGGAGAGGGCCGTCATAGCGGAAGGAAATATTGTTGCACAAAATCAAATTTCTGAATGGAAGGGGAAAAGACAAAACAACCAATGGTCGAAGGGGTCAACTACTCCACCAAACAAGAAGCAAAATTCAGGGACTTCAAATGCGTCTACCCCTAGTCAGGAGCCAATCCCCGTATGTGTGGAGTGTGGAAAGAAGCATCGTGGAATATGCTACCGGAAGTCTGGAGCCTGCTTTCAGTGTGGAAAAACGGGTCATGTGATAAGGGATTTCCCTCAGAGGAAGCAGCAACAAAATGGCAATGGGACTACTACCAGTTCAGTGGGGTCTGCACCAACGACCAACACCAAGCCACCGGCCAAACCGACTAACAATAAAGATACCACGGGACAAGGCAGGGTGTTTGCATTAGTTCCGGGTGATGTACAGAATGCGGCAACGGTGGTGTCAGGTATATTTATGGTTCACGGTCATTATGCTTGTGTATTATTTGATTCTGGCTCTACCCATTCTTTTGTGTCAAAACTATTTGCTCCTAATTTAGATAAATCTGAGGAGGCATTATTTTATATGCTATGTGTATCTTCACCTTTGGGGGATTCTATGATCTGTACCTCTGTATATGTTGCTTGTGAACTCCACCTTGGAGATATTCGGGTATATGCTAACCTGTTACCTCTCAACATGACGTATTTTGATATTGTTCTGGGAATGGATTGGTTGAGTGAATATGGTGCAACTATAGACTGTCTGACTAAGCAAATTAGTTTTCATCCTCCGGGTCAATCAGAATTTATGTTTCAGGGACAGGAAGTAACTTCTCCACCTTATTTGATCTCGGTAGCAAAGGCTTGTAAATTAATTCAGAAAGGTTGTCAGGGGTATTTATGCAGCGTTTTGGAGGAGCAAGTGGGGAGCGAGAATATCGACATGATCCCAGTCGTCTGTGAATTTCCGGATGTTTTTCCAGAGGAGTTACCAGGGTAGTTAATAGACCGTGAAATTGAGTTAACAATTGACGTAGTACTGGGAACTCAACCCATTTCTAAGACTCCCTATAGAATGTCACCAGTTGAGATGAAGGAATTAAAAATATAGTTGCAAGATTTACTGGACAAAGGATTCATCCATCCAAGTGTATCTCTGTAGGGTGCACCAGTTTTGTTTGTGAAAAAGAAGGATGGAACACTCCAGCTTTGTATCGATTACAGAGAACTTAATAAGGTAACAATCAAGAATAAATACCCGTTGCCAAGGATCGATGATTTATTTGACCAGCTTCAAGGGCCACAAGTCTTTTCCAAAATCGATCTACGGTCCGGATACCATCAATTAAAGGTCAAAGCTAATGATGTCGAGAAGACAGCTTTTCGAACCCGATATGGTCATTATGAATTTTTGGTTATGCCTTTTGGAGTGCCTAACGCCCCAGCAACCTTTATGGATTTGATGAACCGCGTCTTTAAGCCCTATTTGGATGAATTTGTGGTGGTCTTTATTGTTGATATTCTAATTTATTCAGAGAATGCAGAAGCTCACGAGAGGCATCTTCGCTTGATCCTTCAAACCCTCTGGGAAAAGAAACTGTATGCAAAGCTTAAGAAATGTGAATTCTGGCTACTAGAAGTGGCATTTCTGGGGCATGTTATCACAAAGGAAGGAGTTTCTGTTGATCCACACAAGATTGAGGCGATCATGAATTTGCCAACTCCCACTAATGTGACTGAAGGGCGTAGTTTTATGGGGTTAGCCGACTATTACAGACGGTTTGTTCAAGATTTTTCCAAAATTGCTGTGCCACTTACACAATTGACTCGAAAAGGAGTTGCATTTGAATGGTCAGAAGAGCGCGAATCTGCTTTCCAAGAATTGAAAATAAGGTTGACTACGGCACTAGTGCTAGCCTTACCATCCGGCACTGAAGGGTTTGTAATCTACAGCGATGCTTCGCACAAAGGGCTTGGTTGTGTACTTATGCAAGATGGAAGAGTTATCACTTATGCTTCTCATCTATTGAAACCCCATGAGAAGAATTATCCCACGCATGATCTTGAGTTAGCAGCAGTAGTCTTTGCTTTGAAGATATGGAGACACTATCTGTATGGCACTACTTGCGAAGTGTACACTAACCATAAAAGTCTCAAATACCTTTTTCCGCAGAAAGAGTTAAATATGCGGCAGTGACGGTGGTTAGAACTTATTAAAGATTATGATTTGCAGATCCATTACCATCCTGGCAAAGCCAACACAGTTGCGGATGCGCTTAGTCGAAAAAGTATGGGGTCTTTAACAAATTTGGTTACAGGGCAAAAGGAATTAGCATATGAATTGGCTAAAATGGTAGTGGACCTTATATTACATGGGCAGGAAGCTTTAATGGCAGCAATGATGGCCCAACCAACCTTACTTGAGGAAACTAAATTGCATCAGATGGAAGATGAAACGCTAAGAAAGATATGTGATGACATAGGAACTAAGTCGAAACCGGGATTTAGTTTGGTAGATACGCTGCTCAAATTTCAAAACCGAGTATGTGTCCCCAACGTGTTTAACCTTAACCAAAAACTGATGGAAGAAGTACATACCTCAAGATTTTCAATGCATCCAGGGAGTACCAAAATGTACCGAGATTTAAAACAAAATTTTTGGTGGCCAAGTATGAGGAAGGAGATCGTACAGTTCGTCTCTAAATGTTTGCAATGCCAGCAAGTAAAAGCAGAGCATCAAAGGCCAGCAGGGTTGCTACAGCCCCTTCCAATCCCAGAATGGAAGTGGGAACATTTGACCATGGATTTCGTTCTGGGGTTACCACGGACTCCTCGAGGTATGAATTCAATATGGGTCATTGTAGATCGATTAACTAAGTCCGCTCACTTCCTACCAGTAAAGACTTAGTATAATGCAGATAAACTGGCGGTAATTTATGTGAATGAAATTGTGAAGCTTCATAGTGTTCCGGTCTCAATTGTATTGGATAGGGATCTGAAGTTTGTTTCCAGATTCTGGCAAAGTTTACAAGAAGCCATGGGTACAGAATTAAAATTCAGCACAGCTTTCCATCCTCAGACTGACGGGCAATCCGAGAGAACGATACAAACGTTGGAGGATATGCTCCGAATGTGTGTTTTAGATTTTCAAGAAAGTTGGAAAACCCATCTACCGTTGGTAGAGTTCGCATACAACAATAGTTACCACTCAAGTATTGAAATGGCACCCTATGAAGCTCTGTATGGAAGACCGTGTCGTACTCCCATGTGTTGGGCTGAAGTTGGGGAGAAATCCATACTCGGACCTGAAATTGTTCAGTTGACCGCTAAAAAGATTAAAATTATTCGGGAGAGATTAAAAACTGCTCAAAGTAGACAGAAGAGTTATGCGGGTAACCGACGGAGGGATTTGGAATTTGAAGTGAATGGTCATGTCTTTGTAAAGGTCACTCCGATGAAAGGACATCCAAGATTTGGGAAAAAGGGTAAGTTAACACCCCGGTATGTTGGTCCCTTTCAAATTTTAGAAAGAGTGGGTCGGCTCGATAGCTTACCGGGTTACCCTTCCGCCACATATGAGTCAAGTACATAATGTATTTCATGTCTCTATGCTTCGAGGGTATCTTGCGGATCTGTCTCATGTTATTGATATTCACCAAATTGAGCTAGATGACAACTTAACTTATGAGAAAAAACCAATCCGCATTATGGACCGGCAAGTGAAACGATTACGAAACTGAGAAATTCCAATGGTAAAAGTGGAATGGCAAGAACATTACGGAACCGACGCAACTTGGGAAAGAGAGGAGGAAATGCAACACCAATATCCGCATTTGTTTCTACCTTAAGGTAAAACAAGTTTGGAGGACCAAACTTATTTAAGGGGGGGAGAGTGTAATAACCCGACCCTCGTACATGTTTTCTGATATATTTTCGGACCCTATTTTGTGTTTTTGAATGCTTATTGTGAAATCCTATGAGGAATTAAGGTTAAATGAGTGAACCCCATGTGTAAGGATGCCTATCTATTTAATAAGAAAAGTATCTGTCGCAACTATAAAGTTTGAATCAGAAATTGGAAGCCTTAGAGGCTTAAGTATCTGAAATTGAGTTTATATATATGATCAGCATAATTTTTAGGTAATATTAAGCGTTTCTGTGAAATTTCAATTTAAGATGTTTAAACGATTGATTTTCGTCTTTATTCCCTCTTTGTATGTGTATGTCTATAAAAGCCTCTTTGAACTCAAGACTTAGGAACTTTCTTATAAAATATTCCCTAGGAGAAAAGTGAAGTGAGGATAAGAACAAGGAAGATTTGAGAGAGATTGAAGCTAAGGTAAGTTTAATTTCCCTAGTCCAATCCTCTCCTCAATTTGAAATAGAAAGTTTGTGATTTGGTATGATCTAGCGTGTGATGGAAGCCTTGGATGTGTGTGTGTTGAAGACTTGGTATGATAATCCTATCATTTGTGTATTTTGAATCCAATTCAAGTTATCTAGTGAGAGCATCATCTTGTCTCTTTACTTATCAAATTGGTATTCATGCTTATGCCATGTTTTTGTATATCTATGTTATGCGCGTGTAAAGTTAAGAGCCTCAAGAATGAAATTATGTTGATGAGCTTCAACTTTTGTTCCAACTAATTGAGTTGTATTCATGGGTTTAATTCAAGTTAGATTATGGTATGTTGTACCTTCAATTACATGTTTTTAAACCATGATTAGCCCTCAAAAGTTTCAACTTAGAGCATTACAAACACTCCCAAAAGAACAAGATTTTGTTGCAATTTTCGGACCCAAACAGGTAAATCGCCGCACGTGCGGGAGTCACTGTCGCACATGCGGCAAATGCTGAATTTTGACGGTTTGATTCTGCTTAAAAGACACGTGCGGGGGAATTTTGCCGTGCGTGCGGGGGAGTTTACCGCACGTGCGACCCATGTTGAAAAACATGGGTTGCTCCGTTTTGTGTGTAGAACCCTCTAATATTGTCGGAATATATATTTGATGCCTTTTCGATATTTATAAATTCCTTCGAAGTAAAGCGAAACAGAAAGTAAATTGATATGAAAGATGAACTAAATTGTAAGTTTTGAATGTGTGCAGGGCACACTCCGAGAGGAACAAGCACGTCATCACAACACTGTGAGTAGTAGTACCATTATATGCTTCACATGTAGCTAATGATTGTCATGAGCATTGTGTTCACACACGATATGCAACTATGTTAATGTTTCAAAGTATGTAAGAAAGAAATGGGAAGGATGAAATACGTTCATTCTATAAGACGCTTAAATCAAGTTGTTCTGTTAATATGATATGAAACAAAGTGCTACACAGAACTAAGTGCTACGATGTGAGTCACCTCTAGAGTCCGTGTGAGACACCTCTTAAGTTCATACAAGCATGTTCAAGGGCTTAATGCCAACTTATTCGAGGGCTTAATGCCAAATGATTCAAGGGCTTAATGCCAACTTATTCAAGGGCCTCGTGCCACCATGTTCAAGGGCTTAACGCCACCATGTCTAAGGGCTTTGTGCCACTACGTTTAAGGGCTTAGAGCCATCATGTTTCAAGATATTATGTTTTAAGCCATTACGTTCAAGCATGGGCCTAAGGCCGTTATAAAATTAGTACAGACTCAGACTAACTATGTGTGCATCTTCTTACACTTTGATGCATTATATTTCAAGTTAAGTGTCGTTTTATTTATGTATTACTACTCACTGGGCCTGGCTCACTCTGTGTTATGTTTGTTTCTGTAGGTCACCAACCAGGTGGTCAATCCTAAACCAGGATGCTCGTCCTCTTTTGTAAACTCTTGTGTGTCCAGGCAGTAGACGAGGTCATTTATTTTTGGGAAGTTTTGCTAAGATGAGGCTTGTGTTTTGATTGTCCATCTAGGGTTGATTGTACCTAACTTCTATATTTTTGTATACGCCCAACCATGGGGCTGGGACTGTTTATATGTATATATAACAGCTGCTCAGGGACATATTATTGGACTTTATCTGCCTATGCTGATATATGTAATATATGTGATCTTGGCATATTAGAAATAGCTTAATGGAGTTTGTTTGTATCAGTGTTATGTTATTATTTAATGCTTCCAATAAGGCCCCGTATGTTAAGTATACCAAGTTAAATATTCATTTTTAAGTAGGTCATGCCCAAACTTTTAGGGGCGGGTTTGGGGCGTGACAGCTGCTGCTAACTTCTGATGAATAAATAAGAAGGTAGGGTTTTGTGTATATTTTATTTAATACTAGTGGTTTGGCATACCCAAAGCATGTGTAGGTCAAACAAATAAATAATATACAAAATATTAAAATATGTTGTAAGCAACTCAAATTGTAAGACCTTTATTTATCAAATTGTGGTCTAGAGTTCGAGTCAATTCCTCTTCTCTATTTATTTATTTTTTTAAAATAATAAATGTTGCCTCTAAATTAAAGCCTTTCACCATAAATTTATTTCAGGTTTTAAAATTAATTAAAAGATCGTCCAATAATATTTAGTTTACACTTAAAGATTCACAAGTAAAATATTTGAAATTGTAAAATAATTATTACTTAATTATTTATTTGATTTGTATATTCGGGTTCTCACATTCTCCCTCCCTAAAAGAAAAGTTTGTCCTCCAAACTAACCTGCGTAAATCATAAGAATAGATGTGGGTACTTCTCGCGCATCTCATCCTTGCGTTCCCAAGTCGACTCTTCAACCAGATAATTACGCCACAGTACCTTAACCAATTTAATGGCCTTTGTACGTAACATGTTCTCTTTCGAATCCAAAATCTGAATAGGCATCTCCTTATACAAAAAATCCTCTCTAATCTGAAGTGGCTCATAATCTCTCACATGTGACGGACTGTGCATATATTTCCTCAGCATAGACACGTGAAACACATTTTGCACTCCTGCCAACCTAGGGAGTAAAGCAACATGGTACACAACCTCACTAACCTTCTCCAATACCTCAAATAAACCAATGTATCTAGGACTCAACTTTCCTTTCTTTCCAAACCTGATGTCTCTTTTCCGTGGTGATACTTTCAAGAATACCTTATCCCCCACATAAAACTCTAAATCTCTCCTACGATGATCATCATGACTTTTTTGTCTACTCTGAGCAGTCAATAATCTCTCTCTGATGGTGATAATTTTCTGTGTAGTATCCTCCACCAAGTCAGGTCCCAACATTTTCCGTTCACCAACCTCATATCAATACAACGGAGACCTACACTTCCTCCCATACAAAGCCTTGTAAGGAGCTACTCCCAAACTAGAATGATAACTATTATTATACGCAAACTCCATGAGCGGCAAATAATCATCCCAATTACCTCTCCACGCCAAAGCACAAGCCCTCAACATATCCTCAAGGTTCTAAATAGTCCTCTCAGATTGCCCATATGTCTGAAGGTGATAAGCTGAACGCAAATTTAACCGAGTACCCACAACTTGACTATAATGTACCCCAAAACTTAGACACAAAACGAGGGTTCCGATCTGACACTATTGACACAGGTGCACCATGCAATCTAACAATCTCCTTCACATACAACTTTGCAAATTGAGCTAGAGAATAGTTCATCCAAGCTGCAATAAAATGTACTGACTTGGTTAATTTATCAACAACTACCCAAACTACATTGTGATTACTACTAGTACGAGGTATCCGCACATGAAGTCCATGGCAATATGATCCCACTTCCACTCTAGTATAGGTATGTGTTGAGGTTTCCCCGCGGGTTTCTGATGTTCTACTTTAACCTGTTGACACACCAAACACTGAGCCACAAATTCTGCAATATCTCACTTCATACCATTCCACCAAAAATGTTCATGAAGATCCCGATACATCTTAATGCTTCCAAGATGAATGCTGTAACTCGAACTATGTGCCTCTGTCATAATCTCCTTCCTCAAATCACCACCAGCAGGAACACAAATTCGGCTGCGGAATCTAAGCAACCCATCATCACTAACCACAAAGTCTACATGTTTACCCTCTGCCATCTCTCCTTTAATACGCTTACACTGGGGGCCAATCTCCTAAGCTAAAAGAATCCATTCTCTCAAGCTCGGTTGAACTGTCAATTCACTACAATAAGCCCTATCACCAGGCTTAACAACTTCAAGCCTCAAACGTCTCATGTCTTTTACCAAAAAACTCTAGATAGACAAAGCAGCTAAATCTCCAACTGCGACCTTTCTACTCAAGGCATCTGCCACCACAATTGCCTTCCCCAGGCAATACAAAATATTCACATTGTAATCTTTTAGCAACTCAGGCTATCTTCTTTGCCTCAAATTTAGTTCTTTCTGTGTGAAACTATACTTCAAACTCTTATGATCAGTGTAAATCTCACATGATTCTCCATATAAATAATGTCACCAAATCTTAAGAGCGAAAATCACTACTGCTAACTCCAAGTTGTGCGTAGGATAATTTCTCTCATGTACTTTTAACTGTCGTGATGCGTAAGCAATCACCTTCCCATGCTACATGAGCACGCATCCTAAACCCTGTCGTGAAGCATCACTACAAATCACAAAACCACACCCATCTACCGGTAAGGCAAGGATTGAAGTTGATGTCAATCTCTGTTTAAACTCTTGGAAGCTACGCTCACAACCATCATTCCACTCAAACTATACGCCCTTCCTAGTGAGATTGGTAAGTGGCAAAGCAATACGGAAGAATCCTTCCACAAACCGTCTGTAATAGCCAACAAGCCCTAGAAAGCTACGTACCTCTGTCACAGAAGTAGGTCGTAGCCAATCAACAATTGTTGCCACCTTTGTGCTATCCATAAATACCCCATTTTTACTCACCACATGACCCAAAAAGGAACACTGCTCAACCAGAATTCACACTTTTTAAATTTTGCATACTGTCTCTTCTCCTTAAGGGTCTGCACTACTATACTCAAATGTTGTTTATGCTGCTCCTTACTCCTTGAATAAATTAGGATGTCATCAATAAACACTACCAGAAATTTATCCAGTTGGGGTTTAAATACTCTATTCATCAAATCCATGAATGCGGCTGGTGCATTTGTGAGACCAAAAGGCATCACCAAGAACTCATAATGCCCATAACGGGTTCTAAAAGCGGTCATAGGAATGTCATCATCCCTTCCCTTCAACTGGTGATAGCCTGACCTCAAGTCAATCTTAGAGAATACCTAAGCTCCCTGCAATTGGTCAAATAGGTCATCAATACGTGGCAAAGGATACATATTCTTCACTGTGACTTTGTTCAGTTCCCTATAGTCAATACACAACCTCATAGACCCATTTGTTTCTTCACAAACAACACAGGTGCTCTCTAAGGTGAAACACTAGGCCTGATAAAACCTTTGTCTAACAACTCTTGTAACTGAGTTTGTAACTCCCTCAACTCCAACGGTGCCAGTCTATAGGGCGCTTTAGAGATACATGTTGTATTAGGGACCAAGTCAATGGAAAATTCAACCTCATGGTCTGGAGAAAGACCAGGTAGATCCTCTGGAAAAACATCAACAAATTCCCTCACTATAGGCAACTCCTCTAACTTTTGCTCTGGCCGTTCGGTACTCACCACACAAGCTAAATAACTATGACACCCTTTTCTTAACATTCGGTTAGCTTGAAGAGAAGAAATAAAATAGATAGAAGACCCTTTCCTATATGCCTAAAAGAAAATCTCATATTATCTTGGCATAGCAAAAACTACCATTTTTCTAAAACAATCAACAGAGGCATGATGCTTCATCAACAAATCCATCCCCAAATCACGTCAAAATCCTTCATCTCTAGGGAAATCAAATCCATTGGAAAAATTCTACCATCCAAGTTTACCTCACAAGATCTACAAACATCCCTTAACACTACTATTTCTCCTAATGGAGTAGACACAACAATACATGCATCCAAAGGCTCACAAGGATTAGACAAATAACATAGATATCTAAGTGCCAACTCTTAACCTTCAAATTGAAATCAAGAAAGATTCAACACAAGTTTAAACAAAACTAATTTAACCATACACTACTAAGGACTATAGGGACTCAAACCTCGTCTAAATGATGAAATGCAAGATATGTAACTCGATAAACTATAGCTCTGATACCATAATTGTCACAACCCAAACCCAGGTATGACTGGTCGTGGCCCACAAGGCCTTAGCCCAAGGCACACGTAAGCCTAAACACGAATCCATAATCACATTGAACAACTGTACAATAGTCCAATAATAAATAACCAAAACTCAATCCAGTGACATGCCACATGTATAAACAACAAAACCAACCGTAATCAATACCATCCAAACTTATGGGATATAAACAGCCCACATATCAAAACAATCCTAAATGAACCTCAATAAAAATAAAAAGAAATATGCACAAACTTGACATAACAATCTAAAACAAAATAAATGAATGTCCTAGAGGTCCATGCAATTGAGTCCCCGCAACGCAATGAGTCCACTCTAAGTCCTTCTAACGCCTAGAAATGATAAACAACTAAGGCAGCTAATAGCCCAGTGAGTAGCAACATGGATAGTATATAAAGTTTTGAAAACATGGATCAATTCCAAAATAAAATATATATCATAGAAACTAGATTGACATACAGTTTTGATAAAGATAATCTATTTCAAAAAAGAAGGTTCCACAATTCAACAGTTAAAATACTCATGTCTCTCAAGAACATGATAAATGTCATTTTCCACTTAAAACAGATTACAACATGAACACCAATAATTTTATGGGTACCAAGAATAACAAGTAACATGCCACACAGTTCTCAAAGCAATAAGCTAGTTGGATCCAATATCGAACCAAGAGTCATCCTCAGGGTGGCAACACAAGCCTTTTCTCTAAGAAGATCCGATTGAATGTCACCTAGCCTAGCCTAGCCTAGGTCTTTTCCTTACAATCGTTGAGCACTAGAGTCATCACAGCCCAACCCGCATCTATTCCCTAGTGGCCAGAGTCATCACACACAGTGGAATAATTTCCCTAGACTAAATATACAGATGGTCCCAATA